AGCTCCGGCGGGGGAACGTTAAAACCTGTGACCCGCAGGTGCGCGTTCGCGTGCGGGGGTTCGGGCGTCCGCTCGTTCCCTCTGTCCTGGTAGAGAGAGAGAGAGAGAGAGATATATATATATATATGTGTATATAGTACCTCACCTCTGACCCTTTTTGGACACTCATCACTCTCCCAAAGTAACTCAGGAACTCTATCCTATTCTCCTAGTAAGGGGAAGCTTTTAATTCCCTGTCAGGCGCGCGGAGGCGAAGACTTTCAGCATGAGCAGCGACCTGTCCACCGGGAGGAAGCGGTCAGAGTGGCTTGGCTTAGGCCTCGAAACCCTTAACCGCAAACCCTAAAGCCAGGGGGCACGGTCGAACTCCCGTGTGGAAGTTTCAGAAAGGCAAGAAACCACAAATGGCCCAATATGGACCTTGGGCGATGCCTTCTGCTTGCAGGACCCCATGGAGCAGGTGCCCCTAACTTGAAGAAACTGGGGTCAGCTGATGTCACAAGGAGACAGCAGGTGTGAGGAGTTTAGACGTTCAGCTTCCAAGATGTGGTTCAGCAGGGTTCGAGGCAAACTTTTGAATTTAGAGATGGCCGGACAAGGCTACTGCCGAACGTCGCAAAGTTTTCACAAAGCAGTTTTGAATTCGCCACAGGGGCAGACAAGCAGGAATAGTAGCAATCGGAGAAGAAGGTTGAAACAGTAGCCCGGTCAAGAAGGACCATTCACGAGAGTCTGGGAGAAGGACAGAAGATCAGCAAGAAGCACCACAAGCGTAACTTAATCATGCGCACAACGCGGTGTCACAAAAGGTTGCTCAAATGGAATGTGCACCAGCGTGGGTTTCTTACCGGTATGCAGGGTGCAACATGCGTTTGTTTTGGTACTTCGATTGTCGTCGGCCTGTCGATAAGTGGTTTTTCATTGCGCTTAAAGATGCACCCAGAGGCTGTGAGGCTGATGTTTGTTTAATGCGACATGCCAACAAAAATCAACCGCAGCAGCAAGACCCAAGCCAACAGCAACAGCGGCTTGCACTGGCAAGAGTCACTTTGATCATCGAACATCCTCAACCAGCACACATCTGCTTACCCCGAGGTCCAAGAAGAAGAAATCCAAGGAGGACAGGAGGCCTGGACGTGGAGTATGGAGAGCCCTCGAAAAGAATCTCCTTTACTTGCCAGACTCCTGTTTTCAGTGACGCACTGCATCTACCGAGATAGACTTAGCAGCGAACTTCAATGACGCAGTGCAGAATCTCGCAGAAGGGCCCTTCCATTCAGGGAATAAAACCTGCAAGCAAGGGGCCACATCCCGCACATATCAAGGCAAGCGCTGAAGCAGATCGAGGAGAGCGGCCGTCAGAAAGTAGCATCGTGGGGGGTGTCTGAGAGCTGACAAGCAGAGGGAATGTCTACGGAAACTAGGTGCAGTTGTGCACTGTGCTGGTGTCATGCTGGAAGACTTTGATCACTGCCTGTGCTCTCAGCGAGGATACGGTGGACTACGCCGTAAAGCTCATGAACATAAGTGCTGGTCGGAAGGTGCGCCAGCAAGAAGGGCTGGCAGGGTAGGGCAGAGGAGCTCGTGCTATGTGGACGTGCCTCGTGACCCCAAAACCTCAAGAGGAAATCCCGATTCGGTATCTTCCAGCAATTTTCCCACCACTCCCCCAGAAGCAGGAAGGTCTTGAGGACAGCTTCTACAAGCACTCAGAACGGACGGCTGGACTTCTTCGGAGCGAGGCCGGATTTCCCGGAGAGCTTTTTGCACGGGTGGAGGAGGGGCACTGCACTGAAAATCTTTGTAGTGACTATGTGAAAGTAGATTATACAGTACTAGTTATATATACTGTACTATACTGTACTAGACCATACCATGCCATAAATACAAGACGATGCTGTACTACTTGCTACAGTCTACTATGCTATATTATACTGTACTATACTACAAAAAAGCAGCAGGTGCTGCAGGAGGCGGAGTAGTAGGAGTAGAGTCGTCGTTGTCGTGGAGGCGAGAACAGCCTAGAACGATATTGACATGCTTGATGCTACTGTATTGTCAGCCAAATCACCATCATTGTCATCATTGTCATCAGTGCTGATTTTAATATAGATAGGGCTGAACTGATTGTCTTAATGCTACTGGCCGTGACTGGTACCTGCATGTGGTATTTCTTCCTTCGGATCTGGGAAGTCCTGATCAACACCTATGGCACTTGCTGGCGACAAGTCAAGGCAAACCGGTACCAGCCTCGTCATCGGCCACACGTAACTTGAAGGCTCAACGTGGCCGCATGGCCAGCCATCATTGAGACAAAAAGTGCTGGAAGCCACAGCCGTCGTTTGCAGGTTCTACATATTCCACACAGGTCAATTCACCCGAGGTCACCCAAATTCCCAAAGCCTTCGGAGAGTCGCAAGCATCTCGAGATCTAGAGCCTTGTTTGCAGGGCTTGCGAAAGGCACTGGCAGAGGCGTGTCGCTGGGAGGGGACAAGTTTGGAGATGGAAGGAGAGATTGCAAGCTGGCCGATATTCAATCTGCTGCTATCAGAACAGCTTTTTACGATGTGGTTGGAAGATGTTGAAACTGAGTGCGAGGCGAGGCAGTGCGAGGTTGAGTGCTTACACGGCACACTTCTGCCTGTTTCATCATCCGCACCCTGCGCTTGCGACTTGTCTGGCTACCGCGATCGGGATGCCTTTCGCAAGCTGCAAGCAAGACTGGCTCTGCGGATTCATGTCGAAATAATTGCCGAGTTGTGGCAAACAGTGTGGTGCACATGCCGCTGCCATGCAGGCAGGCATCAAGCCCACGACCTTTCGAGAGCGAGAACAGGTCCGGGAGGCTTCTTCTGTCTGGGACAGAGTGGTGCAACATGAATGGTAGTGGCAGCCAGTCTTCTGTCCTCGACTGGTGGTACTCGGTTGAATCATCCCTTTCGCGATTTGTCATACTGCTTCCCATCCGGTTCCATCCTGCTGCTGGTTGCCGATACGATACTGGACAATGACAGAGTGCTTATCTCCAGCTACAAGACTCGATACTGCTCAAAGATTGGCAGGTAGGTGGGTAGCTAGCTAGGTAGCCGCGCAGGTAGGTAGGAGGTAGCCAGGTGGGCAGCTAGATAGCTAGCTACGTAGGTAGAAAGAGTATATACATCTGCCTGCCAATGCGCTTGTACATTTAACTTTGCTCATATGGAGGTGTCAGATCGGTGGGAATCACGAGCGGGCAGGTGCAGGAGGTCATCATCAACAAGTTTCGCTCCGAAGAAGACGATCATGAGGCCTGGTTGGCAGGCTTTTTGGGTGCAGGTTGGGTTCTGCTGCTCTTGGCAAGTGGACTCTGGCAGTTTCACATGTTGAGATTCTGCATGCTCTGCAATCATGGACAATCCTTAAGGGCCCCCCAATATAGTTGCAGAACGCATACTGCAAAACCCTCTTCTAGCTGTTAAGATAGGCCCTCCCGTTGTGAGTGTCCGCCACCAGGTCGATGGCATCAAGAATCCACTCAAGGATCGACGCGGCGCTTGGCGGCTGGTGGAGTTCTTGGCCGGGACGGGTTCATTGTGACATTCCTCGTAAGGAACCACTTAGCTGTTAGCTACTTTAACTGCCTAGCCCAGCCCCTGGCCACGCGGTCCATATACATATATATATATATATATGGTATCCCCCCCCCCCCCAGTTATC